GCTGATAATTTCATCCCTGGCACTAGTCTACTTGGCATTTAGTGCTAGAATTATGAAATTTACTAGTGCTCATTTAACTTGTGACAAATTATACCATCATTTAATACATTCAGAAGGAAAGCTGGAAATATGAGGATATGAATGAAGAACTACTTGTTTAGACTTCTTAGAATTGCAAAAGACATCAGGGGTACCTATTCATGCAATCCTTTTTTGATCTATGTAAACAAAATGTTGAAGTCTTGGTATATTGTCATATGAACAAACCTCTCTGCTAGGTTTATGGTGCTTTTCACCATGAAATATATTCTCTCTTATGTAATTATGTCCCACACATTTATCGATGTAAGATTGTAGCTCAGCACAGATTTTCCAGGATGCTAGCTTGAAAAATACAATTCCACAGTAATCTTCTCCCAAAATGATCTGTATTGTTTGTATTCATTTTCCTCTCTGAGCTATGGTGGTCATTTTGTAATCTTGATGGTAGTGTCTTTTGCTACTCATGGAAGCGAGCTGAATATTTACAATAACTTGGCATAAACTCTCAGGTTTTCCTTCTCTTGGGGTTTTGTTGCAAAAATTGGAGAATCCAGCTTTGCGGGCGTGCTTAAGTGTGCCATCTAATGAGGTCTTTCTCTTTTTTATTAACTGAACTATGATGATACATTTAACTGTATGTCTAACATCTATATTTTGTTTATATTCTTAACATTGTCAATTGTCGTCATCGATTATGGAATAGTTTCTGAATTCTGACACCTTAAACAGTTAGATTTTTATGTTGGTTGGTTAACCTCGGATGAGGTGTTTTTCATTTCCAATTTATCCATAAGCAGCTATCTTGCTGTTTTTCATTATTATTGGTTGGCATACACTAAGCCTTTTAATAATATTGAACTACTTGTCTCTGCAGGGTGTACTCGTACGAAAGATTGAACCGACTGCCCATGCCAGTGATGTGTTGAAGGAGGTATGTGTATCTCTTCTTAATTGTGGAGCTTTCCGTTGATCATTTTCCTCCTGGATGCCCTCTGTTCTCAAATATTTGTTGTTCACTTTCGTATGCCCTTATCCCAGTTTTTGGTCTATGTCATTCATCCTTTTCATGTTTACCTTACTTTCTTGCAACATCAGATTCATGATTTCCAATGTGAGTGGTTAATGTCACCACAGCATTTTATTATTGATCATTTATTGCTCTTCGTCAGTGTAATCATCATTTTTTGCTGCATGGTAAAACAGTGAGAATGATGACCTTTTTTTCCTGTGAAGTAACATCTGGTTCTTTAACTATCTTTCCAGGGGGATGTTATTGTTAGCTTTGACAATGTTCGTGTTGGGTCTGAAGGGACAATACCCTTTCGGTCATCTGAGCGAATTGCATTTCGCTACCTCATCAGTCAAAAGTAAAATTTACTTTGGCATCCATATTGAACTTATCATGGAATCAATTTCAATACTGTTTTCATTTACCATTTTCTAGTTAACCTTCACCACTTTTTTTTTTTTGGCCCAACCCTTCTTCAAAGCAGTGCATCTTATTTTGTATTAAGCTGATACTCATGCCTTTAATGCTGATGATCAATGTCAGATTTACGGGTGATGCAGCAGAACTTGGTATTATTAGGAATGGACAGTTTATGAAAGTCCAAGTCATTTTAAATACGCGGGTGCATTTGGTAATTCAAATACTCTTTTTTACTGGGATTAGATAGTTCATCTGTTGATATAATACTTGCAGCTATGATATTAAATGGGTTTCTTTTTCTCCCTATTTTATTCACCTGAAGGTTCCATATCATATTGATGGAGGTCAACCTTCATATTTAATAGTTGCTGGTTTGGTGTTTACACCTCTTTCAGAACCTCTGATAGAGTAAGTTCGTGAGATTTTTTACAGTTTTTGTGGCTGATTTTGCATAAAATAGATCTTAAAGAGATTATGCTCTGTTAATCTCTCATTCTGACTGTTATCTATCTACCTTGTGTTTGTTTTGACAGTGAGGAATGTGAAGATAGCATTGGGGTACAAACAAAATTTATTTTATTCTTTCATTGCCACTCATTAATTCAATTTTAATTTTCTTGAGTTCACTGGTTGACTAGTGGCTCTGTTTATTATCAGTTGAAATTATTGACAAAAGCCCGGTATTCTATGCCAAAATTCAAAGGAGAGCAGATTGTGGTCCTATCACAGGTATGAAGATGTCTATGATGCACCTTCCAAAAGCATCTTCTCACCTATGAGTTTCTCTTCTCGTATTTATAGGATCATTCAAACATATGCTTTGCAAGTGAAAATTTGTATTTATGTATGAACTTGTGTGAATGGCGTTTTTGGCTTACCATTTGATAACTTTTTGGTCAGGTTCTTGCAAATGAAGTAAACATCGGATATGAAGATATGAGCAACGAACAGGCAAGTCAATTACAGCTAAATTTTAATATTTATGTTCCTTAAGTCTGTGGGTTTGAACTTACCGAGATAAAAAACTGCGACAGGTTTTGAAGTTAAACGGAACTTGGATAAAAAATATTCACCACCTGGCTCATCTAGTTGATTGTAAGTGCTAGTTTCATCTCCTCTATGTATCTATTTCCGTGTATACCCGGCACTAATCGTTTTGGGCACTCTGATCGCAGCTTGCAAGGACAAATACTTAATCTTTGAATTTGAAGACAACTTTTTGGTTGTTTTGGAGAGAGAATCAGCTTTATCTGCTTCGGAGAGCATTCTGAAAGGATATGGAATTCCATCGGTAAGATCTTGTGATCTTTTGGAGCCATACATAGACTCTGCTGGTCAAAATGAATACATTAACCGACACGAGTTTGGTGACACCCCTGTTTCTAACTCAGAGGTTGGTTACGATGGTCTTCTTTGGGCGTAAGTGTTTTCTTATTCTTTTCCAAATTATTTTTTCGTAATTTGAGAGGTTGGTTACTCATTCTTTACAAAGTTAATTTTTTGCAATTTATGGAGCAGAAGTCAATTTTGTAGAGAGTGTAAGGGTATTCGGAGAGTGTACTGTAAATTTTGTAGAAATGATGAAATCTTGAAAACCAAATATCTTCTTTGAGAAGAATAGTCGATTAGTAATAAGTAGGCAGTTCTGTAGTTCCCAAGTTGGAAGCTTTTTAAATAAGAGAGGATAACATTTTTGAGTAATGAGTAACATTAAAGAAAGGTTAAAATTATGGCCACCATTACGAAAAAATTACAACCACCCCTATCAACTATGTACTGTCTAGTGAAAAAATTCTTCAATCAATAGGTAAAATTTTTAACACCCTAAAAGTGAATGTGAAAGACAATACATCCAAATATATGAGGGTTGTTTTTTTGAGCATATCTCAGGGTGGCCGTAATTTACTCTAAAAGAAAACCACTTTCCTAGTTTAATTTAACTCGATTTATTTATCATTGCAAATATAATAAACAGAGCAGGCAAAATGCTGTAAGAAAACCTTGAAAAACAAAATCAATCTACGATGTTCTAGTTCAACAGTACACAACTATATTAGCTGTTTTTGCTGTTCACAAGAAAAATAAAAATAAATAAAATTAAAAAAGAAAAAGGAAAATCAGGGCAATAGTTGTTTGTTGATATGATTGGCTATGTTTTGGGCGTCGGCAGCAGCACCGTACAATCCTCTGCGGGCGAGCCCAGCGCAATAGAGCCCATTCTGTCCCTTCCAATGGTTAGGATAACTTGGCTTTGGTAGACCATCTTCACTCAACAGATAATCATCTCCCTGCCCACCAATATTATTTTTTTTTTATTTATTTCGAAATAATTTAATCTAGAAAATAGGGGAAATATTGGTACCTTGAGCCATTCCTTGGTGGATCTTTTGAAACCTGTGGCGAAGAGAATCACGTCGAATGGATATTCTTTTTCATTTTCAAATAAAACGTTGTTGCCTTCAACGCTTCTTATTCCTGGCAACACCTGTTTTGAAAGTTATATGATTTTTTCTTAATTATTATTTAAAAAAAAAAAACAATAAGGGAAAATAAATAGTAGTAGTAGTAGTAGTAAAGGTATTTTTAGTGGGAAAAAAAGAAAAGAAAGAAAGAAAACCTGAATTTTGCCGGACTTGATGTTGTGAAAAGTACCAAGATCGATAATAGGGTATTTACCATACTTGACTTTGAGAGCAAAAGGACCTTCTTTAGGCCTATGAACACCATATTTACTCAAATCACCATATACTATTTTGCTCATCATCGTTACGAATGAGTCAACCCACTTGAATGGCAAATATTTCAATAGAACCAGTCCTGCATACACCATCCCCCTCGACACTACATGTACCTGCATGCATGCATGCGCGTTCATTCCCACATCCAACATTATTTTATTTATTTTAATCATGAAATCTTTGTCTGGAAAATAATCTTGATTATGCGTGAAACATAAATCTCATCCACAAAGTTTTTCATTTATTGAAACCCACGTTTTCTGCTTTTCCGTTGAAGCCAACCCTTTTATTTTTTTAATCATCAGTGGCGTATATTATAGATATTAGTATGGTCCAAATGAATTTATTTTTTACAAAATTATTCCCTAAATTGTGGATGATAAAACTATGGGCTAGATTAATTAAATAAATTGAGTCGGCGGCTATTTATATAAAAAAAAATTAAATTAAATTAAAAAGAAAGAGTGCCGGTTCTAAGCATAAGGTGGCTCCCCTCAGCCCTTAAGAAGTATACACGTGTTATTTATACACACGTGCCGGTCTGCATGCTATATTATTACCGCCCAAAAAATATTATTTAAAACAAAATTATTATTAAAATAATCTCACCTGGCTTCGGACAACAATGGAGGTTTTGGCGCCGGAGTTTGAAAGATCAAGCGCGATTTCCATGCCGGAGTTCCCACTCCCAACCACCAGCACACTTTTCCCCTCAAACTTCTTCCCGTTCTTGAACTCCGTCGAGTGCAACACCTCGCCGGAAAAACTCCCCAAACCCTCGATCTCCGGGATACTCGGGTCGCAAGTTTCTCCGGTCGCCACCACCACGAACCTCGACCGGTAGTCCTCCACTTCGCCGGAATCGAGGTTCCTAGCCGCGATCGTCCATTTTCCGGCGGTTTCGTCGTACGCCGCCGCCTCCACCGACCTCCGGTAGGCGGGGCGGATACTGAAGTGCGAAACGTAGTCGTTTAAGTAGCGAATGAATTCCTCTCTGGATACGTAAGTTGGGTAGGTGGCGGGGAAAGGCATGAGAGGAAGCTCGCAGAATTGTTTGGCAAGGTGGAGATGAACCCTATCGTACGAATACTTCTGCCACAGAGAAGCGAAGCAATCTTCTCTCTCTAGAAGTATGTACGGTATTGACAGATGCTGCAGGTACGCCGCCGTCGCTAGCCCGGATGGACCGCCGCCGACGACTATCACCGCCGCTTCTCTTTGTTCTCCCATTTTTTTTTTTTTTTTTTTTGTGTGTTTTGGAAAATTGTGTGAACTGTGAAGGGTGAGTTTTTATTTTTATTTTTAGCCAGGGTTTTATTTTATATATATGTGTGTGTGTGTGTGTGTTTTTTGCAGGCTGGAAAATATTCAAATATGACAACTGTTTGTGGGGTCTGAATTGAATTTTATTACATTATTCTAAATTGATTTTGATATATGTATTGCATCATTTCATGAACCGGGTTGTCTTTTATAGGGATTTTATTAGGTTTTTATAATGTATGTCGTGTACACAAAATAACCTAATTAATATTTTGATAATGTAAGTTACATTTTTCTATATATTGAATGAATTAGTAAAATAATCCGATCTGCTTACCAACGTGCTACCTTGTCTTTGATTCTGTCATGGATGCAGATACTATTTGACTGTTACGGTGTTACCCTTTTCTTTTATTTTTTTGGCAACTAATATATAAGGTCAATTGAATAGTTATTGGCATAATAAGTATGGAATTGTGTTGAATTGAATTGAAGTACAAATTAAAATTACCATTAATGTTAGGGTGTGAAAATATGATTTGCAGAGACGGCCATAAGTTTTTATATTTTGTTACTTGGCGTGCAACATAAGACTACGTGTTTTCAAAGACATGAATTTGTTGCTATAAATAAATAATATATATGTATAGTATTGTTGAATTAATTTGTGGGGGCCATATATATAATATATATATATAGTTCTTTCCGACTTTTAATTTAATAGCCATAAACTAATATTGGTACTAAAATGAGAAAAGACTTGTTCAAAAAGATATTCCATGGAATTTGGTGTTCAAAATAACATCCTAGCTAGTTGTACATTTTTGAAACATACATTAAGCATAAATTAATATGGAGAATATGTAGTGTGATCTCGTACGCGAACAATGACGAAGGGTGTTGAGGTAGCTCTGTCGAAGTTAACTGCCAATTTTCATTAGTTGCCGGCCGATTTTCAAAAATTATTATCAATTTAATGGTGTTATGTGTTCTTTAGATGTATTCTTAATGACAATCATCATAACAAAATATTGTAAATTAAATAACTATTAAAAAAGGTTTGGTCGAAAGTCAGAATGAATCGGTCCAACCTTGATCAAGTTGGCCATTCAATTTTTTGTCAAATTCAACTCTAAGATAGGAAGTAAAATAATGTTTTACAGATGCTACGTCTTATGAAATATATTGGGTAATTACACATAATAAGACACATATTTATATATAGTTGTGCAGTTAATTGCATAGATCAATGGTGAAATATTAGCATGTGTATTTCATTAGTTGTAGCATCAAATATTTAATGTAAAATAAAAGTTGCATGGTTTCCATTTCTTATATATTTATTAACTTGCATCATGTGAACCATTACTTGACATTTGACAACGACTACATCGTTGACTTTATGACTATCAAGAGAAGCTCGTTAATTTCATACGCAACTTATTTAAATTAATTGGTGTTAATGGTTCCATCTGAATAATTTATTATTTGCGTAGTAGCTCCAATTTACATCCAATAATGAATCGGGTAGCTAGTCCAATAATTGATTAAAATATTTAAAAATTGAATAAATTATAACTTTAAAGACAAGTTGGAGGATATAAAATACAACTTTAAAGACAAGTTCTTGCATCAACAGTACTATTAATTGATAAATGTAAATCGCCTCAGAATTTGCAGACAAAGCTCGAATATCCAGAATTTAATAAATACTGCATATGTTCTCTAATATGTGTCACTTTATAATTCCAAATGCTGCATTAATTGTTTATTTTTCAATTTATACCCTTATTAATTGTATATCACTCTTCCTGCATGAATTAATAAATAAGGATATTTTGGTCCATCAATATTTTTCTAAAATGAAGACATATTTATTAAGATTTTTAAGATTTGTGACAAGGTGAAAAAGGACACCTATTTAGGAACGGAGGAAGTAAATAATATGAATTTAATAATGGTGGAGCCAAGTTTCGATGACCTTATCACCGAATTAAGATTATTTTTTTAAATATTATTTAAATTAAATATTTAAGTTAAATATGTTGGGCCCATTAGCTATGAACAAATCCATTAGGCACTAACCTATTTCTTTTATTTCTATAAGCCCAACTATATGTATATTTCTTGTGTTCTGAAGGATAAATCGAGTAGCCCACTAACCTATTGGGCTTATGGAATAAATCAAAATTGCAAGTGTGTCATCCTTAATTACCATTTAACGTATGATTAGGTCATGTAATAAAGTAAATGACAGTCAACCTCTAAGATAAAGTCAAATTAAGAAAAAAATATTTATATTTGAATAATTGCAACCCACCCCTCAATTATGAATCTTCTTACACGTTCACTTTTACGGGATCAAATTTAGTGCAATCTTTTAGATTATAAGAAATATTCTCTAGTTTGTACCCGTTTTACCCCATTCAAGTTCTACATTATGAAACAAGATAATTATAAGATGTGTCTTTTGACTTTTAAAAATCAGATTGTGTTGCATAAAAAACTGCATTATTTTCACAAAACGAATTCAAACTAAAGAACATTCCATAGTATATAGAAAAATTATGTTGAATTTGACACCCTGATCATGGAGTTGTAAGACATCTCATAATTGAATTTAGAGGATGATTTGTAATTACCCAAACATGAAGAGTTTCCGTAACGAGACCTTATCTAAGGGGTTGTCCGTAATTTACTAACCATCTTAATTCAATCAATCATAAAGAAAAAAGAACGTAAAAAATTAAGAGATCAATCTTTCACTACGAAACAAAAACGTAATTTTGCCATGGTTATTATATTATATTTTGTCTTGTGACTATCAGTCTGGTTGAAGAAAGTGCCTTCTCTATCTCTCCTTGATCAAAATATTTTTTCTAAATATCAAGTAACTAATACCACATCTTTTTATTTAATTATTTATTTTTTAAAATATTCACCATGCAAGAATCCAAATCCAAGACAGCCTCAAATCAAATGAAATTAATCCCGCCATATTATATTATTCCAAATCCAAAGGATAAAATTGTAATTGTCCAATTCCCCATTATTATTCCCTTAAGCTAAATACAAACACAACAATATCACGGACTTGTGAGTAATAAATAACTGCCATTTAGGTAGAAGACAACTGCAAACCAATTCACCCTTCATCTGTTAGTCTTTCCACAAACAATTCTTTGTCCCTTACCTCCCCATTGCTTAGCTGTTTCTCCCAATCACCCCCTGCCACCTGTCACTCACCCCACCCCACCCCCACCCCCCTCTGCCATTTAATCCCTCATCATAGATATGTCTTCACAATCATTCACTCACTCATAGTACTATCATCTTTCTGTCCAAAAAAACTTGCATTTATTTCATCAATTAAAGATTTGATTTTTATTTTTCATTTCAATCATCATTAAATGGCTTACTCATCCAAGACTCCATCTTGTGCCATTCTTGTAATGACTACAACATTTATTGCAATTTTGTCATCAACACTAGCTACATCAAAAGAGAGCAATTTGCCATCTTCAACAATCTCAGCTGCACCTGCATTACTACCCGATCCCGGTTCACCGTTACCCGCACCGGCATTGTCGCCGGACATGTATCCCGATTTTCCATCGCCTGGTGGCTCTGCTCTTTCTCCAGCTGAATCTTCAGTGCCACTAATCCCTTCAAGCCCAAGCCCGCCTAACCCGGATTCAATCGCTTCTCCGGGGCCCGCTTTCGCCCTGTCGCCACTCGGCGTCTTGCCGGATTCCTATTCGTGCAGGATCAATGTGCCGGCCGTGTTCTTCACCTCAATGGTGGTCTTGTTTGGTGGCATTTGTGTAAATATGGCTTTATAGTTGCTCTCTCAAGTTCCAGGCAAGTTAATTAGTTTTATGTTTTTACATTCAAAATAAAAACATATATAATGAATCAAATTGTGTGTATTCGTTTGGGGTTTCTACTATTTCTATGTTACTAATGATTGTAATGATTTATGAATCAAATTTGCTGTTTTTCATGTTTAGTGGTATTTGTACTATATAGATAATTGCTACATTGTTCTGTAACAGCATACACATTTTATTTATTTTTAATCAAGAAATTGAATGATTTGCAATCCACATTAAAAATAACAATAATAAATTACATTGAATGCATAAAAGAATACAATACATAGTTGATGCCTAGTTTAAAACGAATTCCTGCAAGTCTTTAAACAAATATACTGATAATTGAAATATTCCTACAACATATGTAGTTCTATATTACTAATACATATAGTACATAACACTCTTATAGCGCGACTAAATTAGCCGGTGATTTTCCGAACCCGTTGAACAACTTCCCAAAGAAACCCTCTTTCAATTTGTTGTACTCGATTTGATTTTCTTTCTTCGGAGCATTCTTCGCAAGATTCTGCCTCAGATTCAGATTTTCTTCTCTGAGCAAATCCATGGCTAAACTCAGTTGCCTAATGACTTCTCGTTTCTCTTCGTCTTTTTGCATCAGTTGCTCTTTCTGAACCTCGTTCTCTTCTCTAAGCCCCTCCACTTTTCTCCTCAGCTTCGTAAGTTCCTCCTCGATGGCGCCACTCCCCAACACTTCCTCTGTTCCGGAACATTCTAGAAGATCTTCGACCGTTTCTTCTTCTTCCGGATCATCAACTTCCGATTCATCTGACTCATCTGGTCCGTAAGCCTCAGAGTAGCTATCGTATGCTTTATCGTTTAAGTTCAAGCTTAACGATTTCTCTAGTCGATATTTGGTGAAAGATAACGGGGAAGAGGACCATGGGGTTACGAGACGGGCCCCGTTTTCTGATTTGACTAGATCGTACCGCTCCGCTAGCGAGCGGTGAGTCCGATAAAAGTCTTCAACCATGCTGATTAGCTCGGGCCTCTTCTTGTAGTACATTTCTGCTCGTTGTGCGAATGAATCTGCGTCTTCTTCGATCAGCTTCAGCATTGTTTTGGCCTTCTCATCGAGCTCTGCCATTAATTTTACATACTTATAATCAACAACAGTTCAATCCACAATAAAGCTTGTCCTTAATACTTTATCCACTCATTACTCAACTTTTAGCAACTAATCATTTCAATTTATGTAGATCTCAACACAACGGTCATTTATCCATCTTAAATTAGAAAAACAATAATTATATTCAAATCCCGAGAGAGAGAGAGAGAGAGAGAGAGAGAGAGAGAGAGAGAGAGAGAGAGAGAGAGAGAGAGAGAGAGAGAGAGAGAGAGAGAGAGAGAGAGAGAGAGAGAGAGAGAGAGAGAGAGAGAGAGGATCACCTGCAAGAGTTGACTGAAGCCAAATGGATCGAGTAGAATTACCCTTGCTGTGACTGTCGAACCACCATGAGTGTGATGATCCTCTGTTCTTCGCCTCCACCATCTCTCTTCTTCTTCTTCTACCTTACTACACAAATTGAAAATTCATAACACAAATGTATGTATACATGTATGTATGTATGTATACATGTATGTATGTATCAATGTATGTAAGTATGATTGAATTGAAATTAAAAAATTGAAATCATAGAAGAGGGGCAAAATTGAAAATACAATCGGAAGCAACATATCTAAGATGGTTAATTCCACCTCGGTAAATTGAATTGAAGATCAATAAAAGCACAGACAAATTAATGCATCACAGAGATTTTCAGTTTTAACTCACTGAGTCAAAGTCAGTTAATTCTTTTAATGCAGCATCTCTCAATACAAAAAAAAGGTGGTGGATTTACCTGGAAATGAACCTCCGTCTTCAATCCGACGCCGTACAGTCGCCACGCCTCTCTCTCTCTCTCTCTCTCTCTCTCTGAGAATAAATAAAACCACTCTTGTGTTGGAGAGGAGACTGTGCTACAATTTAAACTCCATCCGCCTCGGTATCCGCACCTTTGTCTTGCTCATTTTAATCACTTATTGTCCAATAAGAATACGCCACGTGTATAACTCACTATGGATTTTCTCAGTCTCCCGAAGAAATAGGCGTGCATCAGCACATGCAGAATTCAAATTCACATTGTATTGACGTTTCTGCCCCCCACTAATGTCTGCCTTATTTTCAGTCAACCAAATTTGTAAAGGGCAAATACGTCAGACGATTTTATTTCATTTTGTGATAAATTATTTTTAAAAATCTTTTCCTTTTTTCCTATTTTCTCCTTCCAGAATTAGAATCTGAGCTGTTAAATTAAAATTCATGCTCGTGTACAGGAAAGAGGAGCGTCTTTTCTCATATACAAAAAGCAATCTAACGGTCGAAAATTAGATTGAAAACGACAATAAAAATTAAATAATAAATTCTAATTCTAATTTACCTTTTTCTTTTTCTTTTTTTATTTTGGGCCATGGGCTTTCCTACCTTCAGGCTTGAGACCCAATGTTTAATGGGCCTTTCAATAGGTGATTTTAGGGAAAATTACCAAGAAGTCCCATATAAAAACTATTGCATCCAAAAAGTCCCAAAAAATATTATTGTATCTGAAAAGTCCCAAAATTAAAATATCAATACTAAATTGTCCAAATAGTTAGCTTTAAACTAATCCTATTAAATTTAATTTGTGGACTATATTATCATTCGTTAAATATAATATATAATTCATAATAATAAATTATAAGTACACATTTTTCTTATACATCATACATTTTCAATTAATTGTTTTCGACTAAAAAATATATATATAATCCTGATTTATTATTATGAATCGTCAATTATTTTTGAAATTAATTATCATTTCAGGCTTCAACATGATTATTAAAAAACGTTCATAGATATTAATGAATTTTAGGAAAACAAATATAACAAAAATAATCACTAATCTCAGTAATTCTTTCTATGTTAGTTACTTTATTGGTTTAATGAACTTTAACATTCGAAAGAATTCAATGAAAATAAGGATAACAATATATATAAAAAACAGTAATTAATTCATTATTAAAATTATTATAATACATGATAAATATTTTTTTCCAAAGTCAAGATTAATATAAAATTGGAAGATGATTTATATTATATAAATTGAAGGATATTCTAGTCATTCTAATTCGATAAATTAGTATTAATATTTTGATTTTGGGACTTTTTAGGTAAGACTTTAATTTTTGGGACTTTTTGGTGATAAATGTTTTTAAATAGGACTTAATTACTTAAAAAGGCAAAAAACAATTAAATGTAATAATAACATGTTATTTATTCAATTAAATGTAATTAAATCAATATTTTAATTTATTAGTGGACAATGGCAACATAAGTCTCATCTCTCTCGCCACCACCGGAGAGAGAGAGAGAGAGTGACTCATTCTCAACACTATTATTCCCCTCGCGGAAAAACCCAAGTCACAAAAAGCAGCAAATTAAGAATCATTAAATTCGTTTTAAAAAAAAAAGATACCCATCAATCTGCCCTAACAATCCTTGATTTTTCCTTCTTCTCTGAGCGATGCTCGCAGTTAATCTTGTCAAGCTCTAATTTTTGGCAAATGGGTTTCGGTTTCACACCCTGACCTGTGAATATTTATCCTTCCGTTCTCTTCTTAATTTTTTTTTAGTTTTTTTTGTGGAAATGGGTTAATTACTTGTGTACAGATCTATGTGGCTCTAGATATTTGGAGGGTTTGTATTCGGAGATACTGAATTTTGATATGGGTTTGTTGAAATTGGAGTGTCTGTATATGTAGGTAGATATATCCCCTTTTTTTTGTTGTAGATTTTTTTTTGTTTTGACAAGAATTGGAATAGTTTTTTTTGTCACTGTGTATTTATTTATTACCAACTGTTCTTGGACTACTACCATAAAGCTTGCTTTTGTCGGGTGTTACCTAGAATTTTTTTTAGGGTTTCTACAATCTGCCATTTAAAAGAGAATTTTTTTATTTGGTAATTTATTTTTATCGAATTGCAATAGTCGAGGAGTATTCGATTTTCGAAGCTCACGGCAGAAGAACTATGTCATTTAAGAGTATGATACAGGATATGAAGGGTGAGTTAGGTAGCATATCTAGGAGGGGTTTCGAAGGGAGATTTGGTTACGGGATGAAGTCAAGGTCTCAACGTGTAGTCGAGGATTTTGCAGTGTCGGGTGTAGATGCTCTTAGGCAGAGTTGCTGGGCGAATATGCCACCTGAGCTTTTGAGGGATGTGCTGATGAGGATTGAGGAATCCGAATGCGCGTGGCCCCCGCGAAAGAATGTCGTTTCTTGTGCTGGTGTTTGTAGGAGCTGGAGAGATACCATGAAAGAAATCGTTCGAACCTTGGAGGTTTCCGAGAAGTTGACCTTCCCCATTTCTCTTAAGCAGGTTCGTATTTTGCACTTGCAACTCCACTCTGTATTTAAATATTGCGATTGTAATGGCTCCTCTAAAGATTAACGAGGCTTAAATGATCGATATGCTTGAGTTGTATTCTAAGAACATGGTAGTGTGTGCACAAATTTAGGGTTAGTAGGTAGAACAGAAGGAACATTGTTATGTTTATGGCTCGAATTGTTTCTATTTGGAAATGTTTGCTCGTCTATTATCTCTCAATGCCTATAATTGTTAGTACAAATACTCATCAATGTAATTTTTGATAGTAAAAATCGAGGAAAATTCACTACAAAGAGCCGATAAATCTTTATTTATGGATAGCGTGGTGGCTGCATGATGGTTATTAGGACTAGGTTTCAGGAGGCTAAAGATGGGGAAGTCAATATTTTATTTTATTTCATTTTAGATTTTTGTTTAAGTATTTTCGTCTTGAAATTCTAAGTGTGTATTTCATGCAGTCTTACTCGGTTGTGCACCTCGTTTCTAATTATACATTGTATGGTGCATTCATCCGATACCGCTGCAAATCATACATTCAAGGAAGAGATTATATTGCACTTTTTTTTTTTGAGCAATTATCTTCGTTCTCCATGATCTATAGACATTCGTTCTTGACTTCTTGTATCGATATATTTTATTTTATTTTTTCTGCAGCCCGGTCCAAGAAACACTTTAATCCAATGTTTCATAAAGCGGAACCGCGGTAGTCAAACCTATCACCTGTACCTCAATTTGAGCCAAGGTAAATCGTAAATATGTTTTCTTATTTTACTTAACATCTACTTTGATCTCTCGTTGTTTTCCGTCAAATAAATTTGCTGCAGATTTGACATTTTTTCTTGTTTGAACAGCTTCTAACGATGATGGAAAATTCCTTCTGGCTGCTCGAAGATGTAGAAGGCCAACTTATACAGACTACATAATATCCCTAAAGGCTGATGACGTGTCTAAAGGCAGCAGCAACTACATCGGAAAATTGAGGTAAATTTGTATTTGTGTTCCATACAAGGTTGTTCTTGTTTGTCATCCTAAAAACCTAATAAATTATAATTCTTTTTTTTTTTCAGGTCTAATTTTTTAGGGACCAAGTTTACTATATACGATGCACAGCCGCCAAATAGTGGAGCTAAAGTTACAAAATCACGTTCGACGAGAATGGTTGGAATGAGACAAGTCTCTCCCAAGGTCCCTGCCGGCAACTATACCGTGGCCCACATTTCATATGAGCTCAATGTCTTGGGCTCGAGGTGAGTGATTATTAACCCCTCTCGACAGACTTCTATTATTTAGTTTAATTTATAAACATATGTATAATTGTAGGCATCAACATTATCGAGTAAGGCCTTGTTCAATTAGTAGTATTAAGTCCAATTGACTAAGGCCTTGTTTGGTTTGTAAGATTAGTAGTTGGCCACCTCGTGCGGTTAATTTTGTTGGTAGTGACTAAAAGTATTACAAAACATGAATTTATTATCGCTCAATTGGGGGTGTACCTTTCCTATTTACATGCTAATTATATAAATACACATACAGGGGTCCAAGGCGGATGCAGTGCGTGATGGATACAATACCCGTATCTGCAGTTGGACCAAATGGTGTGGCCCCCACTCAAACCCGACTCCTATCTGGCAACTTAGATTCCTTCCCTTCGATCTCCTTTTTCAGATCAAAGTCATCTCGTGCGGATAGTTTGAGATTAGGAAATTTGTCGACAGAGAAAGAGGAAATGCTGGTGTTGAAAAATAAGGCGCCTAGGTGGCACGAGCAGCTACAGTGCTGGTGCCTCAACTTCAACGGGCGCGTGACGGTTGCTTCGGTCAAGAACTTTCAGCTCGTTGCATCCGTTGAGAACGAAGGCGGCGGACAAGAGCAGCAGGAGAATGTGATTCTGCAATTCGGGAAAGTGGGAAAAGACGTATTCACCATGGATTATCAGTATCCAATCTCTGCTTTTCAGGCGTTTGCTATTTGTTTGAGCAGCTTCGATACCAAGATTGCTTGCGAATGAATGTTGTCTGGATTAAAAACCATTTAAAAACTTCGTCTTTTTGATCTTTTAGAGGTGTTTCTGAACGTAAATTATGTTTTGAAATTCATGGAAACGGTTATCGAAAGTTGGCAGAGGAGCTGTGTAGAGTGCCAATAATGAATGCTTTTGGGCAAAACTGCTTATTTGTGTTTCTTGGTTTGTATTTTCACTACATAATGTAGATGTGAGCAAATTGTTTTTTTGTCGAAAGATCTGTTTGCTAAACCATTTCTTGAATTTATGATGAATAACAATTCTTATGACTCAATTAACATCTATTAATTTAGACCAGTAACTAATCACCAAATAAGTAAACTAAGAAACCAGAAAAACAATATAGCCCAAATATTAAAAATGAGAGATATCTGTAGTCACTGAATTAATCATATAAAAAAACAAAATCATAGAGAATCATCAAATAAACGAAAAATGCAAACTCGATAAACTAAGGATTCAGAAAATTGAACAAAACCGACAACATAAATAGATCGAACGAAAAAGTCGTTTGTAGCAAAAAAGGGTGGAGAGTTACAAGTCTTCTAGTCTTCTTCCTCACCCTCTTGCTCAGCAATGTTGAAGTAGCGAAGTTCGTAAACGTTCCTGTCTTTGTTGGAAGCAATCACCCGAAGCCAATCCCTAACGTTGTGCTTCTTCAAGTATTTCTTTGTCAAATACTTGAGGTACCTGTAATCAAAGTTGTCGTGTTTTTTCGTTTAGTTCTAATGCAATAGCTAAATATACTTAGATTATGCATATCATATCATCTATTCCCAAACCAAGATCTATCCTTCACCATATATTCATATGCAAAAATAAGAATTCATCAAAGTTTGACTGCATTTCGATTTTGAAATTTCATGTTTGTATGTTGTAAACATTAATTCTGCAATACAAGTTCTTAATTCTGTAACCCTAAAACGATGAACATTAATTCTGTAATATTCTCTCACTAGATCCAGGACAGAGCATAAATCATTAAGAAATTCCGAGAAAAATAAATCGGTATGTGATGTGAAAATGCACAAAATTACATCGACAAAAATACAGAAAAAAATTAGAAAAAAAAAAATCACCTCTTGGAGAAAGTGGCGTCAGCGGTAACGGTGATCTTGTTCTTCTCACGGGTAACGGTAACGGAATCGCCAAGAGCGCCGGCTTTACCTCCGACCTTGATTCTCTCCTGCAGGAACTTCTCGAGAGAAGCAATCTCCATAATCTTATCCTCCACAGGTTTAGCGCAATCGATCACGTATGTCGCGACCTTCTTCTTCCCGCCCTTGGCTCCCGCCGCCGCTGCTCCTCCTTTACTCATCTTCGCCGCCGCTTGACTGTGTGAAGAGAGAGAGAGAGAGAGTGAAAAACAACAAATGATAAGAGTGTGCTGCTCGTAAACCCTTGTAGCAGCTGCCTTATTTGGGCTTTTCTAACTTTTGGGCCTTAGTTTTAAATTTTGAACCCTAATTTTAAAATTAAATTAAGCCCACTCAAAATTTGCCGAAATGACCCATTAGATATATACACATATGTACTTGTATAGTTGTATGTATAGACGCGCTGGATCGGGAAAGTCGAATTAAAAATCGAGAAAATTCAATTCCGAGGCGGTGGCAGCTAGAGGCAGGTGGCGGCGATTCTCTCAGCCGCCGGTGGGGCAAAAAGGAAACGGTGAAGAAATAAACTTATCACCGTTAGATTGAAGTCTATAACCCATCGAATTATGGAGGATTTCTCGGAGTCCGTACCATGTTCTTCTCTCGCAGTCGATTCCGTCTTACGTATGAGCTCAGTAAGAACCCGATTTCCATTTTCTCCACTCTCCACATGATTTCATAGTTCACATATTTTAGGGTTTACCGGTTAAATGTAGAATGTTTCACACTATAATTTGATGCAGGCTGGATTTATTTGGGGTTCTTGTTTTGGTCCATTTGATGCTAAGCGACTAGGTAAATTCACTCATCATGGATCGAAACTTTCTGGAAGGAGTATTAAATTTTATTTAGGTTTTCATTTGAATGTAGTTTAACATTATGAAAAGAAGATGGAAAATTAGTATCAATTAACTAATATATCAGATGATTGCTTATGTGTGTGTTTTTATACTCGAGCATTCTGCGGATTAAAATTGATTATAATCCGATCATTACATCTGACTTGAACTTTGTTGCTTGTGTTTATTTGAACTAAATACTCGGTAGGTCTGTCAGGCAGTGCTCGTGCATCGTTCATTGTAAGCTACTCGAACATTCTATTTAATCAGTTTTAGGAACGTAGATATTACACATGGTGCACATGTGTGGCATGTTACATGTATCTGACCTGTTACGTGAGCTGATATCGTGTGCTCGTTTGTTTGGTTGCAGGCCAGGACAGTTGGCCAGTGCGGGTTTTCATGTGGTAATTAACTATATATGCATAATGTAAATTTTATTATGTTTCTTTCATCAGTTTTCTGATTAATCTCTTTTTTAAACATTATGCAACTGAGATCAGTTTAAATAGAAGAAGGATTTATTTTATAATGGTTGTTGTTTGAGAAGCCATTTGGATTTTATAAATTGTGTTAGGTGTGTGTGTCGTAGTGCCACAATGCAAGTTCGTTTCTAATTTTAAGTGTTTTTTCTCCTCGTTTCTAGGATTATTTGCTGCAATATTTTCATTTTCTCACTGTGGGCTAGAAAGGTATCGACGGAAAAAAGACTGGGTTAGTGAATGCCTCTTCGGTTTTTCAACTGCTTATTTGTAAGGATCGGATATGTGAAATTATGTGAAAGAGATCAAATGAAGATATCTCAATTTTGGTAAGAATTTCCAAAGCAAATCGACGCATCTGTGTAAGACGTTGATTGAGACTGCATGAAGTGGATTTTTTAAAACAGAACGAGGTTATAGTAAAACTCGGAAGTCACGTAACTCTTGTCAACAGCAATGTGTACTAAAATGATTTAATTATGCTATTTCTGCTCTCGTTATTGACATTTGACGACTTCATGAATGATAATTTTTAGGGCTTGTTTCGAAAAATCTGATTTGAAGATTCATATTTTTGTATTTGAAATAAAAAATTTGGCTGTAGGTTAATACTTTGACAGCGGGTGCTGTTGCTGGGGCAGCTTTTGGTGCTGGAACCCGGAATTGGAAACAAGTTGCTTGTTTTACCGGTCTTTTTCTTTCGTTTTTTCAGTTGGCCAAGGATTCTAGATCTGTCTGATGCACCACTTTCAAGAATTTCGTACGGGTGAGCAAGCTAATGTGACTTTTCAAATAATATCTCTATTTTGCAAAGATTTGATGAAATGGAGTTTATATTTTTATTTTAACCTCAATTTGATAAATGGATTTCAAATTAATTTTCGTAATGTGTCTCTTCTGGTCCTCTTTGATTTACCATGTACATGTAGGGTATTTCTTGTTGTATCGATTATGTGAAATGGATTTCGAAACAAATAAAAATAGTTTATTTCTGTTCCGTAAAATTACAACTGTCTTCTTACTAGATTCGATTTCCATGTACAGATTTTTTTTGGCGACTCTAATGGTGAATAGTTTGAGTATAACAACACTTCTTTCTATCCTACATCAGAACGAAGTTCAACAGGTAATATTCAGCCGTACACGTTTTACACACATTCGCATGTATTTGTGTGTGGATTCCCGTTGTCTTTTTCACCCGGTGTAGAATCTACGAAACCATAGAACAAAAATCTACCATCTTTGATTTGATGAAATTGAATACTGTGGGGGTTAATTACAAAATGAGGTAGGTGATGATCTATAATTTTGAGTGTGAAATGTGTAATAAATTGGATTCAACCAACATAGTTAATGAACACACTGTATGTATAATTTTGTGGACTAGTCCCATCATGGGACCTTGTGATATTTACAGTTTTGGTATCTCTCGTTTGATTTTGGTCAATTCTTCTGCATTTAGGGCACGTCTTTCATTTATTTCCTTCCTGCAAACGTTAATTATTTATCTTGTACCTTTTGAAACATTTAATTTTATTTGGTATTAGGTATGAATTATGATTGATTGGGATCCATAATAATTAGCATGCAACTATTAAGTTTTTTTATTATGGTTTCATTATTATTCATTGAAATTTATCATCCCCTTTTATCTATTGCATAAAATTATTAATCATTAACTTGGTTTAAAGCAATCATCGTTTAATTTTTTTTTAGAACTAAACAAGCCATTTCGATGGGGTATGTTAAAACTCGAGCTGGTAGGTATTTTAGTCTTTACGGTAAATTACGGTTACCCTTGAGATAAGATCAAATTACGATAAAATCTTTCTTGTTTGTGTAATTACAACTACCTCCATCAATTATGAATCTTTTTAAATGTCCACCCTTATGGTGTGAAAATCAACATAATTTTTTACATTCTACGTAATGTTCTCGTTTTGTGCAACCATGTAGTTTCTAATGTACCACAATATGATCATCTTGTTTTAAAATGTGGAGCTTGAATGTGGTAAAACGGGTATACACTGGAGACTTTTCCACATGATTAAGAAGATTTCACTAAATTTAACACCGTAAAGTTGAATGTTTAAAAATATTCATGGTTGAGGGATGATCGTAATCATCCAAACATAAAATGATTTTTTGTAATTTGACATTTTTTTAGGGGTGGTTGTAATTTTTTTTATTTTTTTTGATAAGTAGGGCGGTTGTAATTTATCATGGTCTTAAATATGTTGATTCTAGGAGGCCCCCCAAGTCCTGAAATTTTCTCTTTTGTCTATTTATTTTAATTAGTTTTTATCGCTACAGTGGCTTTTTTGTCCTTTTTTTTTAATTACTAATTTATGATCGAATAGAGAGAAATTCACATGTTCACACACTGATGACACTAATAATAATAATAATGGATTAAATTAAAATCTTAGAATGGAAGAAAGGTGGTAGTGGTAGGAGTAAATAAATTGAACTAACCCAACCATGAACCATCCACCAGTAATAATAAAGCTCTCTCTAACAATGGGCCATGGACACACACACACATTTATTATCATAATATAATAATTAAAATAAATAAATAAAAGTGTTGCAATTATTGAGGATAAATATCGAGATCCGTGATGAAGATTGAATGAGTAGTGGTAAAGAAGAAAAGGGTGTGTAATTTCTCAGAGGCTTGTCAACAACCATCATCAATGTTGTATTGCACATGCATGAGAGAGAGACAAAGAGAGAGAGTGCATGAGAGAAAAGGTGTACTTTTGTATCTATCGTATGTATATATCTATTTATATAAATATGTTTGTGATACTGGACATGGGCATGGGCATGGGCATGGGCTTATCCTACACGTAACCCCGCGAAAATTTTGGAATCTTCCAACCCCAATACTCAGATAATATCATCCCCTTCATCGAATTCGAACCGCCTTATTTCTCTTTCCGTCTCTCCAACTTATTTCTAATCTATTCAGACCGTAAATTAATTTCATCTCTCTGTTCTCTCTCCCCTTTTTTCCTATTCTTTCTTGCATTATTGGCAGATCCTCTTTGTTCTTTTTGTTTTTCTTGGGTCAAATAGGCGTGGTTTGATGTTGGTTCTCATTGGTTAGTTATAAAAGTCGTGTTTTTTTTTTTTTCCCTGTCGGAAAGTCAAGCATGGAAGTCGCGTATCATGAGGTGGGTTTCGTTTGTTCATGTAATAAAAATTGATTTCTCAATCAGGGGCGGCTGATGTTTCTTTTTTTTTTTTTTTTTTTTTAATTACTGTTTGGGGATTTTTAGGAGTACGTAAAGAATTCCAGAGGAGTGCAGTTATTCACTTGCAGATGGCTGCCCTTTTCTTCTCCAAAAGCTCTTGTTTTTCTTTGCCATGGTCTCTCTCTCTCTCTCTCTCTCTCTCTCTCTCTCTCTCTCTCGTGTGTGTTTGTGTGTTTTGAATTAATTTGTATTTGGTTGATGCGGTTGCAGGTTATGGCATGGAATGCAGCAATTTCATGAAAGGTAACTAAGCGGTAACACTTCACTCACAAACCACCAAGTACATATTATGATATATCGTATAAAGAAATTCTTAATCTTACTTTTGCTTTCGTTATTGCTAGTAATTAGTAGTATTTTGGGGTGCATTAAATGCAAAGTTGGCTCATGAATGAAACCAACCGTATTTCTGCTGAAATATTCGACTTTGAATTTGTTATTTTCGAATGAATTACATTCATGATTCAAGCGTACATACTTCTTTGATCATATTGATTTTTGCTATGTCTTCATTTTTTCTTTTAATTATTTTCTTAGCCAGACCAAATATTTTTATATGATTAAACAAAATATAATGAACACAGGAACAAGATAAGAGCTCTTTAAATTTTAATAATAATAATAATGTAATAAATGTCTGGATAATAAAAGCATACGGCAATCTCAGAATGCCCATTCCCTGTTGTATTTGTCCTCCCCCTTTTATTGCATGTGATTTCATAAATTATCATATCCACCAACCATATGTGTGTGAAGCCATTCCTAAATTATTGTCCCACCTCCCCTTATTTTTTTATTTTTATTTTTTAATTTACTGCTATGATCCGGTTGGCCACCGTTTTTCGACTTTTTTGTTTTCTTGTTACTTCGGTCATTGAGTTGTATGTTATGTATTGACTAAGGTTAAGATAACCAACTATAATTTTATTTAACTATCCCTCTGAAAAAAAATCCCTTTTTTTAATCTTATTTACAAATGGATAACTAATTGGTCGATAAGTAATCGAGAAATTATCGGGTGTATGGTGAAGTGATCGATGCTGTTTGAAAATTGAATTTTGGTGGTTGTGTTTGGTTGATTAGGTTAGGAAGCAACTACTTATAAACCTTCACCTGTCACTTTGTTAGTTGTTCCTACCATTAACAGAACAAGAAAATTAGTGTAGAATTATTTGTCTGAATTGTTGACCAATTAACACACATGCCTATGCTAGTACGCCCGGTCGAAGCGATTTTTTAACTTTTTATTCATTTTATTTATTAATTTATTAGGAGTTGGGACAAAGCTTGCAAGCAACGGGTATGCCGTTTTCGGAATTGACTATGAAGGCCATGGGCGGTCAATGGGTGCTCGATGTTACATCAAGAGGTTTGACAACATCGTTCTTGATTGCAATGACTATTTCAAGTCTATTTGTGGTAAGTTACCAAATTTCAACCACCATTTTTGCATGCTTTAATTCTATTGGTGCAGCAAAATCTACTCTTCGATATTTCTTAATCATGAATCGGATTAGTTGGAATAAATTATTTCAACGTAAATTATCGAAAAAGAGTCGGATCACTCTTTGAATCAATTAGTCGCACTTCTAGTAGCACGATGAAAGTTAACTATCAGCCATTCAGCCCTCGTTAAAATCCCGATTCTGAGATAAAAAACAAAATAGAACTTTTAATGGACGCGTTTATTTTTCTAATATTGAATTTCAGCTCGGGAAGAGTATAGGGAGAAGAGAAGATTCTTATACGGAGAGTCGATGGGAGGGGCAGTGGCCCTTTTAACACACAAGAAAGACCGTATTTTTTGGCATGGTGCTGTTCTAGTTGCCCCGATGTGTAAGGTCATACATTCAAATGTTATTCCTTTCGTCGTATTTGCAAACATACATTAAATGTGTGAATTTTAATTTTTAACTTTTTTTTTAATCGTTAGATCTCGGAGAAGGTGAAGCCGCATCCCGTGGTCATTAGTCTGTTAACTAGGGTCGAAGATGTAATACCGAAATGGAAGATTGTTCCTGCCAAGGATGTCATCGATTCAGCCTTCAAGGACCCTATTAAACGAGAACAGGTTTAAATTCCTCAATTTCACAAACTTTAAATTATTTCGGTTTTAAAAATATGTAATTTTAACTGTTTTCCCTTTATTTCAATGCAGATTCGTGGGAATAAATTGATATATCAAGAGAAGCCAAGACTGAAAACCGCACTCGAAATGCTCAGAACCAGCATGAACCTCGAGGACAGTTTAAACGAGGTCACTCTCATTACTAATTCACTCATTTAAATTGAATTTTAATCGAATGATTTGATGAAAAATAACTCAGCAATTCATCATTGTAGAATTAACCGAATATAAACCTTAAAGATGTTTTTTGGGCCCGATTTTGTTTTCCCTCGTTTCATCCTTTATTATCATAAAAAAACTTCCAAATATGATTTCTTGGCATTGGTATTATATTATATGTTTCTGAATTATATTTTATTCCGTATTTTGATAGGTGACAGTGCCGTTTTTCGTTTTACACGGCGAAGCAGATACGGTGACGGATCCAGAAGTGAGCAGAGCACTGTACGAAAAAGCCAGCAGCACAGACAAGACCATAAAACTGTATCCCGGGATGTGGCACGGACTGACAGCTGGCGAACCTGACGACAACATCGAGATTGTTTTCTCGGATATTATTTTGTGGCTTGATAAGCGTGCAGAAGACAATGGCAGCAGTAATCAATCCATGAAACCAATCAAGAATCCTAATCCTGCTCCGATTATGATTATGCCTGAAGGGTTAAGCGCAAGGGCAAATAGGGAAAAAACAGATAGAAAACGGTCGAATTCGAACTATTTATGTGGGTGGAAGGGTCGTGGATTATACCATCATTCGGCTATGTAGACGAATTGATCATATCTTATGTTTTTTGTTCATTCATGTGTAACTGATCAAGTATTATCAGAACAAAAATAATAAGGAATAATTTAATCAATCTTCAATTTTCTTTTAGTAGTTTTCTCTTCATCCATGATTCAAAGTTTGAGATCAACTGGAATAATTTAATTAATCTTATAAAAATTATACATAATGACTAAAATGTCCTCACACTAATTATTTATTTATTAGTCATTTATATTATTTGTGATAATTAATTTTGAATAAAATATTTAATTTGAAAACAAATGAGTTTTTTTCTTGTAATATATGAATGAGCATTTGTCTACGAATAATAATTAGTAGTCAAGGAGAGGAATAAAAATTCAACAACACTCGCACGTGCCAACCGCCTCTTTAAATTGGGTTTATTGAGAGTTCTCGAAAAACCCTTGCCCACAGCAGAACACCAACTGGTGAGTTCTTCTCCTCCGTTTCATTTTTTCTCCTCTCACTTTTGTATTTTGATTTTTTAATCGAACCCTAGTTTATATGGTCTATACTCTCTGTATAATTTGCTCTCGTTATCCCGCTTTCTCTATAATGCCCTAGCTTCAATTTTTTTACAGGACTATAAACCCTAAGTTCGCCGCTCTCAGCTCATCCATTCCTTCGAAATCTTAGTCTAATATGAGGTGAGTTACTGTATCAATTTTCTGCGATTTTGAATTCCTTTTTGTTGTTCCTCTTCTACCTTTGAGTAAACCCTAGAATGGTGCTTAGATATGGTGTCGAGCATTTTTATTTCTTCGATAGATTTAGTCAGAATTGGGCTGAATTTTGTTTATAATTCCTGTTTCTTCGCTCGTTTTTCCTTTTTAAGAGTTACTTTTTGAACAGATGCTGAATGATTTTCATTGCTCGATAGTATAATTATGTTTTAGTGTTTTAACTATGGTTGTTCACAGTTGAGGAGCTATTTAATTTCTCCAGATTGTTCTTTCGTTTGGTGTTCCTGATATTGTTGTGTTGTTGTTTGTTTTGTTCCCCTTGTTCTGCAGTCGGCCGATGGAGGAAGATGCTCCTGTAAGATATCTCGCACCCTTTTATCTATTCTTACCCTCTTTATTTGATGTTTGTTTGTCCATACTTGATTCGGCTGTATGTCATGGCTTGTAGTACAGTAGTAGGCTCCTAATTTGTGTTGCAGTATCTTAATATTGTGTTTGCCATTTTTTTTAACAGCACTAACATATGTATTTTTGGCACGTAAAATTAAATCGGGCCTTCTCAATTCTGCTTTTTTTTTTTTCTCTTTTACCTTTTTTGTGATGTGTTTTGCATCTTGCAGTTATATTATGGTTAACTTAACAACTTTGAGTTCTCTTATCATCATTCAGACCAATGGGACAAATAATTTAGTTGTGAAATAGTCTGATAAAACAGATTGCTTATGTTATAGAAAGCTGAATATATAAAGAGTATTCTAGTGGAAGCTACGTCACTGAAAGTTCTATAAATTAAATGGTGTACTGTTCAGAATATGCCCGATAAAGGGTAGATAGAGATGTATATATCAAGACAGTTCTGTTTCCTCCCGGATTTGTGGATGCTTTCTATTTAATAAGAAAATCACCTATTCATATTGATATTGATGATGCCTGTGCAAAAAAATTCTTTCAATTTTCCTAATACCAGGCGATGTTTTGATGTCAATAAGCATTTCATTGCCATCAAATTTCTGCTTCATGTAATAAATTCGACGCATGAATTCCTGCTGTTGAAGTTGGCCTAGTTTTTGTCTTGCTGCCTGTTATCCCTGCGTTTGTCATATGTGTGCTCTTGTAATTTATTATCTACATACATCCTTTGCTCACCTAAAATACTCCTTTGACAGAGTAAGAACGAGGAAGAGGAGTTCAACACAGGTCCACTTTCTGTTCTTATGATGAGTGTTAAGAATAACACACAGGTACTAACTCGTGCAATTTATTATTATTCCATTTTTATATCTTCTGCGGTTTATTCACTTATCCTTTACTGGATGATAGGTGCTCATCAACTGCCGCAATAACAAAAAGCTTTTGGGACATGTGAGGGCTTTTGATCGCCACTGTAACATGGTTCTAGAAAATGTGCGGGAGATGTGGACTGAGGTTGGTTAATTTCTTGCAAAAACATTTATGTTCGATATTGCAGTATATTCTCTCTAGTATCTACTAAATGTCTCAATAATGTGCTTTTTAATGCTTGTGCAGGTGCCTAAGACAGGGAAAGGCAAGAAGAAAGCACTTCCAGTTAACAAAGATCGCTTTATCAGTAAGATGTTTCTTCGTGGAGATTCTGTCATCATCGTCCTCAGAAATCCCAAGTAACAGGTGATTTGCAAGCAATACTTTTAATTTAGCAGCCACAAGATATTTCCTTTTCTGTCGATCCACATCTATTTCATCCTTATCTAGCAATTATCTTTGGTTAAGACTTGCCCTTTTTCTGCTGTGCATCTCGATTGCTGTAAGAATTGATTATTTGTTTTAAGCATTTCTCTCAGTTTCTGTTGTTTGGACTTCGAATTCGGTATGCCCCTACAATATAATTGAGTCGTGTTATATATAATAATCTTTTTAATTATGCTTGTAGATGTGAAACAAACGTGAACATGATGGTAGGTGAGAAATACTAATGCTTTCAAATTTTGTACTGGAATTTTAACTTTCTAGGTGCTCAATCTCAAATGCGGATCTTCTTCCAATTGGATGATATTTGATGGATGTTCCGTTTTCGTATTCTGCAATGATTTGTCATTTAGCAGACTTGAAAGTTTCTGGTTTATTTGGTGTATAATTGAATGATTCGGCGTTATTATCTCATTCAGTAAATTTCTTAATTTGATACAGGTGTATTACTACGGGAATCTTTCTCGGCCTTCAAAACATAGGTGGAGTAATGTTGGTTTAGCTAATTTGCACCGGTTCAAATTCCTTTTTTTGCATGAACTGTGACTCTCTCTTTGAGCCTTTAAGCAGTTGTAGTTATCGGACTTCGGATATTCAAGAACATTTTTTAATCGTCCCTGTAAGCTGATTATCAGTAGAGATTAGCTTTTTTGGGTGTTCTTCTTTTGTTGTGCTATGTCATTTATTCTCTAGGCATGGGATTTGTGGCATGGTAACTGAGAGACAGACTGCATACTCATATTAATAACGTTTTAAATATTGGAAATCTGCGGCTAAAAAAATATGTCACAAACCTATAATGAATGGCCCCCTATATTGCAGATGAAAAACCCCAAAGACGTAGGGATGGGCCTCTAAATTACGGACGAAAGCCCAACCCAAAAAATGGGCCTTTAAATTGCAGATAAAAAAGCCCAAGACGCAAAAATGGGCCTCTAAATTTGCAAATAAAAAAGCCAAAATACAATAAATAGGCCTCTAAATTGTAGACAAAAGCCCAAGACCCAAAGATGGGGCTCTAAATTGGCATTGAATGTGTAATTAAAGAGTCCAGTCAATACAAGACTGTCTGAAACAATAAGGACCTAAATTTCATCTGAACAAGTAATGAGCATTCAAAATTGAACTGAGTTTGGAATTAAAGAGTGCAGCCCAAACCTATGTAGAAGCCAGTCTATTAAAAAAGTTTCAAAAGATGGGCACTTCAAAGAAAAACCGAAAAAAAAGAAAAAAGAAAAGAAAAAAAACATAATAGTAATATCACAAGATAACCTCTAGAAGTTTCTAGCTAAATAGAAAGAAGGGCGGGGATGGTGTGGTTCACGTTCAATGCTTTCTTCTATAATGCCGTTACTCCTAGTGTACATTCTCGGGGTCGAAAAGGTGACTTGTCACTTTTTTCCCCATTGAATGAGGTTTAAGAGATTATATGCATACGAAGAAGAAGAAGAAGAAGAAGAAACTCATAATATATAGCCTTTTTTTTTTTCTCTTTTTTGCCCCAATTACGCTGAAGTAGCAACGTTTTCTTTGTGATCACCGAATATTCTTTGCCTGAAATCGGAGACCATCATAGGTAGACCTTTACGAAGCGGCACTTTTGGCTCCCAACCTAGCTGGTCTTTCGCCTTTGTTATGTCCGGCTTTCTCTTGTGCGGGTCGTCTTCTGTGTTTGGCCTGAACTCTATCTTTGCATTTGGATCTATGGTTTCTTGTACAACCTGCATATTTATTCGTACAATATTGATCACGTTTCGTAAATGGCTGTATTTTTAAAACAAGAGATTTTGCTGCGAAAGCAAAGGGCTATATGCATATTATATACACACCTGAGCAAGTTCAAGCATAGTGAATTCGCCTGGGTTACCGAGATTGAAAGGACCAACGTGCTCTCCTTCCATCAACCGCATCAATCCCTCAACCTACTCAATTTACAAACAAGTATAAATAATAATACTTATCGATTGTTCAGACGAAAAAAATATATATTTTATATACAAGAATCACAGATTCGTCTGCAAATATTACAGCAGAAGACGAGAAATAAAGGACTAAAAGAATATTCCTCAAATGAATATCTAGGATAAACAAATAGGATGAAAATACAAAAGTTCCTCTGAAGCTACTATATGATGCACGGAACGAATGTTTAATGCTTTTCCGATCGCTAAATATGCTTTTGAAATTTGTCCCATCAACGTGCAAAATAAATTTTCTCTAAGACAAGACGGATTAAGATTAGTTAATATTCAATTATCTCCAATCCATAGTTAAGACTAAACTAGATACTTGTTAGATATAGCCTTTTCCAAATATTATTTTACTCCACTTGATTCCACCGACGAAAGACAGCAAATACATTACTTTAAAGAAAACAAACCAGTGCTGTTTTAATTAGAAATGTATGCAAGAAGAATGGGAAAAAAGTATGTATAGCTGACAGTAAGACAATGTTAAAGTACATCTGGCACTACTTACTTAGTCACCAAGAATGTGAACACTAAACATGATTCTGTCACCCCGGAATTATTATAATCACATACTATAATAATATAGTTTATATTCAAATCTAATTGCAGTTTGCAGTAATAAACAACTCAAGACATTGAGTAAAATATTTAATAAATCATTTTTAAAGGTAAACAAAGAATATAAAACAGAAAAATGAACAAGACTTTTCGAAAAAACGATGCTTACCAGATCCGAAACATACTGAAAACTTCTTGTTTGCTTCCCGTCACCATAAACAGTTAAAGGCTCCTTTCTCAACGCCTGCCCAAATCGTAATTAAGTAAGAACATTTAATTCCGAAATATTATTTCTATTTGTAATAAAAATAGATAAAAAAAATTACCTGAGCAACAAAGTTGCTAACAACACGACCATCATCAATGCACATACGAGGTCCATATGTGTTAAAGATCCTAGCAATTCTAACCTGCACCACGTGTCCCATTCAAATAAACACAAAATCAGACAATCGTTTCCTTAATTCAATTCCATTTAAAGCACAAAATCATGAGCTGTCAACTGCTTTATTACAAGCAATAAACATGTGACTAAACCTCAATTAAGGACAATTAAATGTGCAGCCCAGATTTTACCGTTTCAATGGTGTTTTTGAGAAAATTACTGTTTCAGTAAATAAAAAGAAGATGAAATGAAATTACCTCAACGCCAGCGCCTCTGTGATAGTCCATGGTCAACGTTTCAGCAGTCCTCTTTCCTTCATCGTAGCAGCTTCGGACACCTGTCCCCATCAAAACCCCACATCCCACATCTCTCTCGTTATTAATTAAACACAACATTTATTTTATCAGAAAAATAAAATAATAAAAGAAAAAGACAACAGCTACTAATGTTGTCAGGTTCAAGTCACTGTTCAGATTCACGTCACAGAGACTTCCAAATATTTGAAATGACCATTTTACCCTCCGGCAGCCCATGTTGTATTTTTTCATTAATCAAAGACCAGGGGCTAAAACCCCCCATCCCACCCCACCACCAAACTACTCGGTAGATTGTGGTGGTTGAAATTGGAATAAGAAAAATCTGATTAATATTAGGTTTTATAAGATATTTTGTTAATTAATTTGAAATGGGAGACTGGTCAAAAGCGGTGATGGAAACCGACTGGCCGACGCACACGTGGCACTATAAAAACACAAAATCTGTGGGACGAAAGACGTGTCAAAGAAAATTTATTACAGAGGAAAAAGCACACCGGCTCACGTTAGCAACGACTGTTAAGCTGCGCTAACGTGTACTGTAATCGAATGAAAAATGAAGAAAACAGAGAATTGTATACGCAACGCACCGATTGGGTTGACGTTGCCCCAGTAGGTTTCAACCTGCGGGTGCTGTAACGGATCACCGTAAACCTCGCTGGTGCTCGTCAGCAAAAACCGCGCACCGACTCGCTTGGCCAATCCCAGCATGTTCAACGTTCCCACCACATTCGTCTTGTGCGCATCACCAAAAATTAAGGATTCACAAGGAATTTCTCTCTGAATCGATCCAGAATTTTAATGAATATGAAAAGGAAAATTAAATTTAATTTAAAAAAATACATATAAGGGGAATAAAAAAGGATATGATTGTTTTGACGGGGTTGTGTTTGTAATGAACGGGGGAAGCAGGGCAGGCCAGATGGTAGATCTGGTCAACTTCCAGAAGGAGCGGCTCAACGACGTCGTGTCGGATCAGTTCAAACCTAGGGTTTCCGAAATGGTGGACGACGTTCTCCTTTCTCCCGGTGAAGAAATTGTCCACCACGATCACGCTGTCTCCACGGCTGATCAGCCGATCCACCAGATGGCTGCCGACGAATCCGGCACCACCTGTGACCACGATTCTCAAACCCTTGCGTTTCAAACCCAGGGGGATTTTCCCGACCGAGTTGATTCCGAACCCGGTGGCGAGGTGACCGTTCTGGTACATGGATCTGTGCGGCTGATGTAGCTGAGTCAACTCGGACGAAATGAACGCGTCGGGGATCGGCGCGTGTGGGCTATTGGAGGTGGGGACGACTGTGAAGAAGAGCGTGGCGATTGCAATGCCGACGAGGACGAAAACGAGGCGCTGCTCGCGGAGGAGGTAGTGAATCGGGCGGGTCACGGTGAGCCACGGCTTCGCCGGCTTCGGCGAGTAGGCGTCGCTCACTGGTTGCGACTCGTGGCCGCGGAATATCAACTCGGAACCCATTTTTTTTATTTTGTTTTGGACGCGTTTATAGATCAAAGATCATACACTCTGTAAATCGGCGTATCTATGTGTGTGTGACTGCGTGTTTGTGTTTAAATGGTGAAATGAAGAGGGAGAGTGAAGGAGTGTTCGTCGCGCAATATTCCACGCGCCGGCGCGTTGGTTTGTGTTTGTGTGGGGTTGATGTCTGGTGCGATTCTAGCAGCGAGGACGCAGCTTAAAAAGAGTGGTTCGATTGAGGTGCTATTACGGAAATGCCCCTATAATTGTCACTTGAATGCCAAGTGTTGAATTAATTTATACACTAACGTGCAATTAAATAATAATATAACAGGCCCATTGTCTTTCGATGCGAATTTTTCAAATCGAATTCCTTCAATTATAAATTATTTTACTTTTGGTATTACTTCTAAATGTTTTGAACAATTGTTTTTTTTTTTTTTTACATTGAGATTGACAAAATTAAAAATTTATTTAAATATTTATTGGAAAGAATTAGGTACTACTATATCTCGTGGGGAAAAAAATCAACGAAATTAAGATTAATTGCATTTTGAGCTGTAACATATTGCAAATATTGTTTTGGTGAAATTAGTAAATTAAATTAAGGGTATATAAGAATTTTGAGATAATAATAATAAATCACCAACGTGGTTTAATTTTCGAAGAAAGAAAATGGGTTGTCCAAAAATAGGACTTTACAGTAATTGAACGTTTGCCTAATTTTATATAGTTACTTTATTTTGCTTGATTTGCAATAAACATATACATATATAGTTCGCTATTTTATATTACTTTTTACATCAATAATTTAATATAATCTATAGTATATAGTATTTGGGTAATTTGGGTATATTTGAATAGAGTTTGGCAGAATTAGCAATAAATCACACCCGTTTGTATATAATCTACATTAAAATGGATAATTGTTTTTATTATGGTTGAAATTATTTACTTCTTTAATGTCAAATAAATTAAAGACAAACTGTCAATTTCAATTAATGGTCAAATAATTATTTATTGTGAGAATTACATAAATTTAACAGTTTTCTTTGAAATCTTTCAAAACGTTTACCTGGTCAAATTTATTTACTTAATTAAATAGCATCAAAGATAATAATAGTAATAGTAAATTTTGAAAAATCAAAGGGCATAATCGTCTTTGGGGATAAAGGTGGTTCATGCTTAAAAGGCAATTTGGTGGGATCTTTGAGTAGTTTGAACGCTCATTTCATGGGGAAAAGTCAAAGAACACCAAACACTACTCTATTAAAACAATTAATTAGTTAATTACTAGTTATTCACTTATTTGTACTAACCTAATAAAAACCAGACCTCCTTTTCAAGCAACACAATCAAGTGTAATAACAAAATGTCAATCCAACAGCGTTTTGCAGTTAGTGCGTTTGTGTCAATTGATCATAATTCGAATCATTTTGCCAGCAATCGAGCTTGTCACACGTGGTTAATATAGTGTAATTTACGCATCTAGTATAGATTGAAAACTATTATACGAGAATATATGTTCACGCAGTACATATATATATATATATATATATATATATATATATATATATATATATATATATATATATAGTTTCAAATCAAACACTGCCTAATATCCTACTCCATGGTTATATTTCAAAGAAAGATAATAATACAAACAAATAATGTAATGAAAATATAAATATAAAAATCAACTAGATGACATAGCCCCCATCACTTGTTATTACCTAATTTTATGAAATTGGGAAGCCAAATTTATGTAATGAAACACACATAATACACACAGTAAAACGTGGAAATTTCTTCACAGGATACATGTGCACGTTGTGAAACATAATGTAGGGTGTACGATTGCACATGGGCTTAATTTGCAAATGAAATAATTGGAACACTTCAATTTGTGAACAAAATGGCTGCTACTACTAAGCAACTTCCACCTTTTTTGTGGTAATAAATTAATAAAAGATAATCTCAAATGAATGAACCTTTTACTTTAAAATGTCAAATTTGTTGACAACAAAATCCTCTTTCATATGTTATTTTAAAATAAATAACTAAATAAATAGATGTTATTCGGACAGCCAATTAACATGTAATAGTGGTATAATTGTATATTTTTAGCAAATAATAAACATACTATTCAACTTTGAGACATCCTACTTGGTGTTTGGTTTAAGATCGATTATACGGTATTTTGATAAATTATTGTTAAACAGTGGCATATGCAAGGGGCATTGGCCCCCTACCCCTCACCCCCAATATTTCACAAAAATATATTATTTTATATATAAAAAAAACCATTAACCGGTCCTTCTTGAATAATTTTAATGCATTATTTCCGAATTTAAAATTCTGGCTACGCTAATGTCGTTATAGAAACTTCTATTCATTGATAATCCGATTAAAAAGAACACAAATCAAATAGTTCAAAATGGTTTTCAAGAAAATGTAAAAGTGGAGAGAGAAAAATGAAATTAAAAAAAATTACCCAACTATACTTGAAAGAGAGATTTGGTCGTATGTTAAATAAAATGAAAATATAATATTTGTGTAATAAAAGGAAACTTAGGAGAAGAGAGCGACGGGCGAGGCGGCACCGGAGGAAGTAAAACTTTGGGTGGGACCCACTTGACAGGACTTGGTTTGCACGTCGTGTACTCAGATTCTAACTTAAGCGACGTTGACTCTTCTCCCCCTACACGTGGCGGCCTATTGTTGATTTTACAACACTAATTTTATTTCCCTCAATTTTTTTTTATTTTCTTATCTAAATTTTTAATTTGATTTGTGTGGTACCAGATTAGCAAACATCCCAAAGTTATTAATTATTTTTATTATTATTATTATTATTGATAAATGCAAATGCGGACATATTGTAGCAGGTTCATCTGGTCCGAATTTGAACCAGATCTTTCATCCCTGTTAGAATATATATTTTTGCAAGGTTTTAGGTGAAATAGATCTCTCTCTCTCTCTCTCTCACACACACACACACACACTAATATTATATATTTTTTGCTTGTCTTATTTAAAATAAATAATTTAATAAAAACAAGCAGTGTACCAACATATATGTCTACGTTTAAGATATTTTTTTTAAATATATTTTTTTTAAATATATTTTTTTAATTATTATAGAAAAGTTCAGGGCCTAAAAGATATGAATATGGGCTTTTGGCCCAATTCAGAGGCTTGAAATGTATATCCTATTAACCTTTCCATATGGGCCGAAGCCCATCATTTACAATTTTTCGGAGTTATATTAATTAAATCAGAATAAATAAATACATATACTGAAAATTGATTTCAAAAATTTTATTGACTAATGTGAAAATATACAAAAAAGTTCACCATTATTGCAATTTTATCAAGTCACGCATAAATAGCTTATAATACAAATGCAAATCTCTAGTCATTCACTAAACAATCCGGGCCAGTTGTCGCGAGTTTGTTAATAAGCGCCAATGCGTTGCTAGTCATACAAGTGACATTCGAAACACGATTTACAATATACCTAACACGCTTTCCCCTTTGTTCATCAAAACCATCGAGACAAGTATCTTCATCGGTAAGAGCCGCACTAACCCAAGTTGTCACATCCTCCACTTGAGAATCAAATTCTCCCACACTCAACTCTCGAAGAACAAAGAGGGATTTGTGGAGATTATCGAGCGTGTCTTGAAAGCACTCCACGCAGTCCGACAGGGCGATCCCGTTTCTCCGTCTCGTTTGATTGGCTCGTTTGTTGTTTTTTGAAATCACCGCCATGTAGTGGGCCACCCTCTTGGATTCCGCTATGGTCACTGAGACTCCTGCGCGGGCCCACCTAATAGGGTTGCGTTTGGCCGTGTTTGAAAACGGTGCTAGAGAATGGACACATAAATCGCGATACCGCGTCACACTGCATGCATCTCGGACGTAACCGCTTTCATTTTCGTCTTGAGAAGTAGAGGAGCACGAAAAGATTAGGCATGCTAGAAGCATCGGTACTATAACGAACTTCGCTTTCGTCATAATACGAGGAGCTAGGAAGTCTATATTATGGAGTAAACAAGAAACAAACTAGTGATAGGGCTAAATTGATATTAAAGCATCTATAAAAATGTTCATGGAGTGGAGAAAGTAGCCAAAATTAGCCATTTTAAAAGAGTTGCTTTTGAGATCAAGGTTGTTGGAAGAGCAAGAAGGTGGTGAATGCAATAAATGCCATCAATAAAAGATGAAGAGATTTTTGAGATGATTAATTAATTGATCATGTGAATTGGTGTGCAATGGTAGGTGAGCTTCTCATGAGTATTTATCCATTTTGGTTTCTTTTGTCTCACACCATACGTTTTTTTGGCTACAGTAGAATCTCGATAAATTAATACTCGAGAAATTAATAACTTCGATTAAATAATACTTTCTTCCAATCCCAACTCGGTAAAAATGTATTAAACTATTAGTTCGACAATTTAATATTTCGCTAAATTATTAGAATTTTTGTTAGTCCCGAAACATGTTTAACTGTACTCCCTCCTTCCCCTAATATTTGACGTTTAAGTTAGTTGCACATGGATTAAGAATTCCATTAACTAGTCATTAATTTGATAGGAAAAACCGAAACTGCCCCTTTATCTAGTTCTCTCTCTTCATAATTGACTATTAATTTTCTTATTGACTCATTAACCGTAAAACTTATTCCCATCATTTTCTCTATTTTCTTACGTGTCTCTATAATCTTTTAATCTCAATTAAAATTAAAATTCAATTAACACATTATTTATTCCATTGCATTACTAAACCAGTGATGAAGATGAACAGAATTTTAAAACTCAAATTGCAATCACATGTAGAAATCAAATTTGAAATTTTCAATCACCCTCCATAAAATAAAATTTAAAATTTCAAGAAAACCAAATACATGTATTTCCCACCAAAATTGTTCTATAAAAATTAAGAATTTGCTTTAAGTTCTATGATTAAAAAAATGGGAGAACCTTTAATCGAAATAGATCTAAATACAGAGGTATCACTTTTTCATATAAGTAATGAGAGTGAAAGACAAGAGCACGAATCAATGAGTCTGCCAGATTTAAATTTGGTTGCTTTAGAAGTTGTAGATGATGTAAATATCAATCTACATTCTCCAATTTTAGACCTAAATGCTACTCCATCTGTTGAAAATGATGTACCATTGGATATGGGACTGCAAACATCCTTGGAAGATGAATTCACTACAGGTATTTTTTTTTATTTTTTTATCAATATGTCTTACGAAACTTATGTGTCATGTCCTCATGCCTTTTTTATTTTTCTTTATTTGCAATTCTATAAATAGATGAAAACATAAATACTGGGAATGCTAATGGAGCATCGTTACAGTCACGAAACGTAAAACATTTACACAATAATGAACGTAGAGCCGTATATAATTTGCTACAACAGAAAAGTTTTAACGGAAAATTGCCGAAAGGGGCGACAAAAATGGTGGCAGCACAATTCGATGTTTCGATACGAACTATTCAACGCATTTGGCGGCAATCAAATAATGGTACGTGTGATGATGTATCTCATAGAAGGACAAAAAATTGTGGTCGCAAGAGAATACAAATAAGCGATGATCAAATCCGAGCGGTCCCTTTACATAAACGCACAACATTGCAGTCTTTTGCTCACTCCTTAAACACGTCGAAGAGCACATTGTTTAGGCGTCTACAATCAAGAGAAATACGACGCCATTCAAATTCTATAAAGCCATTTTTAAATGAAGAAAATAAAATATCTCGATTGAAATTTTGTTTGTCTATGCTTGATAGCGCTAGCATTCAACATGATCCAATTTTCAACGGGATGTATAACATTGTTCATATCGACGAGAAGTGGTTCAACATGACAAAGAAATCAGAGCATTACTACTTATTACCCGACGAAGAAGATCCGTTGCGCACTTGTAAAAGTAAGAATTTCATTGCAAAGGTCATGTTTTTAGTTGCTGTTGCTCGACCAAGGTTTGATGAACAAGGAAATGAGCTTTTCTCTGGAAAAATTGGTGTATTCCCGCTTGTTACGCAAGAAGCTGCTAAAAGAACTAGTATAAATAGAGTTGCCGGTACACTCGAGACAAAGGCAATATCTTCGGTGAATAAAAACGTTATAAGGTCATACTTTATTGAAAAGGTCATACCTGCAATCAAGCAAAAATGGCCAAGAGGTGATTCAAGATGTCCAATATTTATTCAACAAGACAATGCAAGAACACATATCGATCATAATGATGAGGAGTTTCGTCTAGCTGCAACACGAGATGGTTTTGATATTCGTTTGATGCGTCAACCTCCAAACTCTCCAGATTTGAATGTTCTAGACCTTGGATTTTTTAGAGCTATTCAATCAATACAATACAAGGAGTCTCCTAAAACGGTCGATCAGCTTGTCAATGCAGTTGTGCATGCATTTGAAACTTTTCCGGCAATCAAGTCCAATCGTATATTTCTTACATTGCAATTGTGCATGATAGAGATTATGCGAGTAAGAGGTTCTCAAAAGTACAAGATGCCGCATATTAAAAAAGCAACGTTAGAAAGAGAGGGGCGGCTTCCTACTCGAATGAAATGCGATCTTGAGTTAGTTCAAGATGTTCTTAGGTATATAGGTTAAATTTTTATTTTCGATGGTGATTACAATAGTATGTGTTTTAACAGTACTGTGTAATTTATTTATTTTCTGATGGTGATTAATAGTACTGTGTAAAACTTTCTAATCCATGAGTATGCAGATGGATTTTTAAATTATTTATAAGAAATGGAGAAAGAAAAAAATAAATGAGAGATAAATGTACAAAAGATAAAATAGAATCTGATATACTTCCCCAGTAAATGGTCCAATATTATTAGAAATATTAAATTATGATAAATACCATGCACAACAACAAAATATAAAAGGAAGTGAACATGCAGCATTTCCTCCTTCCTCTTCTTCACGAAATGGCCTGTAAAAAAGAAAGAAAAAATGGAAGGGGGATTGACTAATCACACTTTAATAAAAATTTGGTAGATAAATTTTCAGCATTATTCTCACTATTTTATTAATTTCTTCATCCTCAAAAGATTCTCCTCCTTCATCAGGAAATTTGTTCAAATCAAATCCACAATCCCCCACCACATTCAAGTCAAAATCTCTGAAAGGTTTCTTGTATGGAAATACTTCCAACAAAGGTTCTATATCTGAATTCATAGAATCTTCAACATTCATAAAATTTTCAACTCTTTTTTCACCATCTACTAAAGGTTCACTCTTCATTTTTGCCTCTTCACGTTTTTGTATTGCCGTCAGATTGATTCTTATTTGTGAGTTGTAACTTCTTAATTTCCTTTCAATAATTACCTTTACATTGAATGCTTATTGAACAAAGATAAATTGACTGGAAAAATTAGGAGTTACAATATTTAATGCTAAGGGTAAAACAGGAAAGAAAATATGAATTCTCTATTGAAAATAGAGAACGTCAAATAATTTGGAAAAAGTAATTTATGCCAAAACGTCAAATATTGGGGGAAGGAGGGAGTACTTCAGATACCATTCACTGTATGTTAAAATTCTTATTCATTTATTTATTTTCTAGCCCGGCCCAATCCAGATGGATTTGGATTGGGCTGTGTAACATATTTTCGATGCACCAGCCTAAAATTACAATATAATGTTTTTTTGGCTCTGTATTTTGTTTTGGAACCGGGTTTTTGTTTTCCGGGTTAGGGTGTTGAATCGGGCCGGATCAATATGTAGCCCGGTTTCTTCCTAAAACCCTCGACCGATATACCCTGACCTAAAGACGCTGTCTTCGTAGAACCTGAAACCTGCCAAAAATCAAAATCAGAAAAACTCCGACCTAGGTTTTTGTAATAATTTTCTCCAAGAGATGGCTCGATTTCGGAATGTAAGTATCAATCCGTTTGTGTTTTAGCAATTTCAAAGATGTATGGATTATGTTGTTTGATGAATTCACCTCTGTTGATGTTTGCAGAAGAAGAAGACGCCATTTGTTAGACCGATTGCAAGGAAACAGCCAACCGTAGACCACGTAACAGGAAAAAAACTCAGCAAGAGTTTCGTGTTTTCTCGGGGCAAGTTACCCGACGTTCTCAGACAATTACAGAGGGATTTAAGGAAAGTTATGCTTCCTTACACCGCTTTAAAGCTCAAGGTTCGTTTGTTTTTTTTTAAAATTAATTCATTTAATCTTGTATGGTTACAGTCTATACTCTACAGTAGATGAAACTGAGTGCTGTATGGTGGAAATTTTGTTATGAATTACATTTTTGTCTCGATTCGTATGGGCTTGTTCTGCCGCTTGTTGTAGGTAGTTAACATGTAAGCAGACTTATTTGGTGTGCTGGATGACATGGACTCCTCTTCGTACGGAGTATATAATCTGTGAAGGTGTGTGGAGGTAAAAAAGCGAGA